CGGTTTGTAAATGCTCTGCCTCCATCGACACCGTGAGCACTCTGTAAATAAGCAGTCCCCCATGTGAAATCAGCCTCCATTTAGAACTTTCTGGTAGTGAGTCCAATATAAAATTCCAGCACCTCTTAATCATGCTGCGTCTTGTCTGATAGGCTCCTTTACTTGTGGACGCCTAAGGCTCCTTGGCCAATGTCGTGAACCTTCCCCCGAACGTGTCTCCCACACCTCCTTGTGGCACCATTACTTGCTGCTTTTAGTCGGAATCGCATTAAACGGTCTGGCACAGGGCGCCTCGACCTCCACCAGGTGGCAGTACTTAGGACCCCCCTGCAGTCTGAGCCAGCTTAGCCACTGCATACCGGCTTACATGGGGCCAGTATTCCGCCCGCTCAGAACACTGTGTCAGGTTGGCTTTTTAATGCACCCTCTAAAAATGACTTCCCATCAGACTGAAGAGAGGACTGATGCCAAAATCAAGGGGGAAGCACTATAGAGGGTCCCTTTTATCACCGCTTTGCCCAGGTGATACCCAGGCAGTGCCCATTTCGGCTGTTCTTTGGGGGTGGCAGGTCAGTAATGTGAATAGAGCTCCGGCCCCCCCCCGGACGCCATGTCCCTGCGTGTGTCTTTGCAGAGCTGCTGGTCTGCTGCAGCTTTGTGAAATTACAAGACACTGAGTGCATGTGCTGTGCACTGCAAATAGCAATGGCTCACGCATAATTAAGGTGCGAGTTTGGAATTTAATTCCATTTAAATGCAGCTATGTCATTGTTTATTTCTTTTTCGGTAACTGGGGAAAACCAACCCCAAAAGCAGGGTGATTCATCAGTACATTCAGACCTGTTTTGCAGGCCCCCGGCTGAACCTTTCTCCCTAAACTGCCTCTCTCATCGGCACACCAAAGAAATGCTTGTTATTGGGGTCTATGTTACCGAGCCCAGGGACTATAATCGCCGTATTTCCCAAAATGCAATTGTTTCATTGCTCGTTGGCCTATTGCCGACAGCCTTCCCATTACCCTGACGACTCTGTGTCCCCAGGCCCCGGCAGTGAGCTCTCTCCCCGCTGGTCGTGCAGGATTCGGGCTGCAGGGACGTGGGGAAGAGCCCCGGGGTTTCCGTTCTGTATGACTTCTGTTAGCAGAGACAAATGGCTCTATGGCCCAGGCCTTGCAGCTGTCGTACGGCTATGCTATGTGCCTTCCGCCAGCGTTTTGATTAATCATGATATCTAGAAGTGGGGATGGGCGGGGCTGGTTTGTCTCCTTGGATGTGGTAAACATGATGGCGTGGATCTCTCAGGAGCCCCAGGCACGTCCTGGAATAAACGAGTTTCCAGCCAGCTGCTGGCAGTCGTCCCGAAAGCTCTTGTATGGTGTTTGTTTATATGCAGATATACTAATGGAGATGAGTGGTTGGTACAGCCTGCTTATGAAATATAATTCATCTTCTTGGCCTTTTGCTTTGGTATTTTCCTTTATCTGCAGTAAAATGTGTAAAAAAAAGTGTGAATGTGCTGCTAAAGACAAGGCGGAAAGCTCACTCTGAAGTTCAGAATATATACATTTAAGTTTAATTACGTCTGCCTGTATGCGGCCAGGTCTCTGCGTTGTCGTAGCAGTGGGTGCCTGAGTGTTTTTGAACGTCTTGAATGAGGAGGCATTTTTGGGTCGAGATAAAGAAAACTGCGGTGTTGTCTGCTCCCCTGGGTTACGTGACTCATACAGGTCGAAGGCTGTGTGCATTTCTATCATGCTAGTTAAGCTTGTGCCCTGCGACGGATTGGCCTCCCACGCGGGGGGTAGCCCAGCCCTGTGCCCTTTGCTGCCTGCGACGGGATCCCACGTCCCAGAACCTCGCCTCTCTGCCAGCTCCTCTCCATGCCGCTGGCTTTTCCCTTTGCCCGGAAGGGTCTCCCTGGCCTTCTGTGAGCTCTCCTTGGGTCAGCGTTTGTTGTGTTGAACTCCTTCCCATGCTCTCTCTGTCCTGTGCTGGTCTCCCTGTCCGATTCCACGTGGCGGCTGTGCTGTGAACGGGTCAGACCTCAAACTGCTCCGTATACCTGCTAACTGGACACAATGACGATGTTTTGAGGTTAGCACTCTTCAAGCACGTCAGGTAGGGAGTCCAGGTCTCTCACTCACTCTTCATAGGTTGTGCATATCTTAAGAAACTTCCCTTCTCTTTCATTCTTATTTCCATTGTTTGTTGCGCATGACGTACTCAACATAATGAGCATATTCTTGTGGCTTATAATAAATGTTGATATTTATATATAATACCACATCACTCTGCTCCTGACTTCAAAGATGCCTTTCTCGTTTGGAAACCGCAATCAAGGTTTCAACTGTTTAAAAATTCTGATTATCCTGAGTGGATCTGCGAAAGATCAGGGGGACTGCGCCAAATTAAGATCGTTCTGTAAACCGTTACAGCGGGACTGACAGGCGCTAGAGCTGCTGTCTAACAGGACCTGCCACTGAGGTCTGAGCAGCCAGCGCTAGACCGACCGCTCAAGGCCGATGTGGCATCGGGTCACGTAACGTAACGTCTCTCAGCAGAGCAATGTCAATAAAGACATGAAGGAGAAAATGGCAGAGTAAGACCTGACATATTTTTAGGACTAAAATGAGCTCTTTAGTTGTGTGTCCCAATCTGAGACAAGCCTTTGAATACAGCTCATTTGATATAAATTAGCTGAATGTTTCTTGTTGAAAACTTCAGCAGGACACTCTGTCATCGCATCCAGCCAGATTTAGTCTTTATGTAAACAGTTTCTGCTGGAGTTCGGGTTTGAAAAATGACCTTTTCATTCAGAGACGAGTTACTCCTCAGAGGCTCTGTGAACCAGGAGAGAACGTCGAAAAGGGGAAGGACCCGGATGTGTCCCGTATGGCCACCGACAGGCTTTCAAAGCACCGCTCGGTGGCCTTTCACACACACCAGTGGCTCGAGTAGAACGTCTGCAGATAACTGCAGGGTCTAGTGAAGGAGCTAAGCTGCTTCTCATGACTTCTTGCTATAAGGTCCTTCTGAAATCTGTCTTGGCTGAACAGCAGTCAGTGTGTCGGGTTTGTTAAATCCTCTTAAAATTCAATTTGCCTTACTCTGTAAATCCAGTCAGTTATGTGCCGTTTTATGGGTTGGACAGATCTTCAGTGAAGAATCAGTCCCTGACAGCCTTGGAAAGTGGAGCTCCTTCTGCCATGGAAATCATCGCCTCGTTTTCAGCTGAAGACCCCCACCAGGAAAAACGATTGTAGCTTTGTATCAGAGATGCTTTTAGGCTGGTGATGTGTGGTCACACTGAGTTGCAGCTGTCTGTAGCTGTCTGATGTACCTGTTGTTGGTGCAAATGTGAAGCCAAATTAGAGCTATTGTTAAATGAAGGAATTCTATGCTGTATTTTCAAGCTTAATGATTACTTGAGTCACTTTACTAACTAAACTTCTGCAATGTTGTTGATCAGAATGTTTTCCTACCCTGGTAAATGTGTCTTGGGGGCTGGGGTTGATCTAGATGAAGGTCCTATCAGCCAAAAAACAGGGGAAACTCTTATCTTCGGCGCATCAGAGTTTGCAAAGAAAACATTTGTGACTTAAGATGCCATGAATGTGAGATGTGTAACTTTTTAATTAACTGAGCTTAAAAAGCCAGTGACCGGACCCTGTCCATGCATGAATATCAGCAAATGGATGATTTAAGTTTAGCTCAGTATTAATCTGGTGTCGTTAGGCTTAATATGGTTTTCCTTTGGTTTAACCTGGTTTTTCTTATGAAATGCTGTGAGCTATTGGAACTATGGATGCAGAAACCAGCTATGTCTCACTTTTGAAGTTATTGGCTAGTTCATGAAATGTCATCATCTGTTTACAGGAAGTTAGCTATTGTTTAGCAGCATGTTCAGAGCAGAGTAATTTAGTGGAGGTTCCTTTCCTCTGTACACTTACTAACACCCCTGCTTGTTCTTCCTCAGTATTTTGGAATAATGTAGGGAATGCAGACGATGAGAGAAATGCGTCATGCCTTTTCACTCCTTTCCAGTGAAGCGTTTTAAGGTCTTGCTGAGGTACTTGATTACTCCTCAAAATATACAATATTTTTATATAATATATGTGTGTGTATTCAGTATGTGTATATATAATATATGTATTCCTGATTCCTGTACCAGGATTTATTACTTCTTGGATTAAATCGTTCACCTGGGCTTGTGTTCTTGTTTGAATCGTCTCCTGGTGCTTAAGCTATTTTCTTTTTTCTTTTTCTTCTGCAAAACAGCTTTAGTCCATTTATACAGTCAAGCAGTTGTGGTTAAGTTCAGGGTTCAGTGCTGTACATCTGATGTTAGTCTGCTGTAGATTACAGAACCTGGTAACCCCAATTTAGGAAAGAACCACGAGCAAATTGAACATTGTTATTCTTATTAGATTATTTGTGTTTAGTTGAGGTGTGTCTAACCCCTGGCTGTGCATTCATATTTTATAAAGAGGTTTAGCTACCTCTGTAATTGTTTTGATTCGATTTTAAACATTGCATGCATTTTGCTGTTGCTTCTTCCCTGAAGGTTTCCTTAGGCTGAGATGCTCTTTATTGAGGTTAATCGTGTTTTATTGCATGCATGTTCTGGTGTTACGTGACCAGGTGGTCTTGTTATTACTATGTTAATGCTGTTGTACTGCTCTAGACTTGACCAGACAGTCAAGGGAATCCTTTGCTCTTTGCTGCACTTTAAGGAGAGCAGGGAACGCTGGATCGTCTGTATCAATTTTAGCCATTATTTTGGGCAAGAAAGGACTTGAGACTCATGGTTTGTTACAGAGTCTGTGTGAGTACAGGAAGAAATTACTGACATTGCCACACTACTTTGGTTAAAACTAACAGGAAAATCCCTTAAGTGACTCTAGCATGTGTCAACATCTGATTATCAGAGAAAAAAAATATAAAACAGTTTTACTAGTCACTTATGTGTCTGAGTCATTATTTGTTTCTGGTTTCTTGCAGGACGTGGTCTGGGGATTGAATTCCTTATTTACTGTAAGTAACACTCACCCTGCAGTATAGATGCTTGCTTTGTTTTCACTGGAGAGGCTGAAACATATGTTCCTGGGCATGCCAACTACACGGCATATGGACGAAGCGCTCATATGGGCTCTCGCTCATTCCAGCTTCTCCCCAGTGTGTGTTGTTCACGTTGCACCGAGCCCCCGAAGGCTTCCCTCTTATATCGAACATGCCTAACCTAGGATTAAACTACGACATTGCAGAGTCACTTCTACATGTTAATGTTAAAGACGGCAGGAGCTGTAAGAGGCAAGCATGCTGGTGGTCTGCGGCCACCTGGCTGCTCTGTGGGATTGGCATGCCCAGACGGATGGGGGGGTGGTGGTGTGGGTATTAGCCCTGTTATTCCTGACCCTCCTAACCCCCCCCCCCCAAATTGCAATCCCCACAGGACCTGCTGAATTTCGACGACCCACTGAACATTGATGCGGCAGAGCACCACCTGCGCGATAAGGTAACGCACGGTGGGGGAAGGGGGCCTGCCATGTGACCTCTGTGTCCCTCGTCCTGACAGCTGTGCTGGTCCTCAGTCGGCACCTGCTGACCCGTGACACGTCCTGTGACCCTGCGGCGCGTGACGGCGGTCGGCCGCCTACAGTCTGTCAGTGTGGGGAGAAAAACGGGGTCAAACAGGAGCTGCGGGGGGTTTGGGCTCTATTTTTACTCTTTCCTATGTCCTAAGTCTAATTGTGTTACTACGACTGTCCAGATTTATTAGCAGCCATCGCAGAGATCGGGTGTCAGAAGCTTGTAGCTTCCCCACCATATTATGTTTCCTCTCATCAGTGATATTTGCTTCACAAGCCTGGTTGGGCTGCATGCTGAGCTCAAATCGTCAGTCTTTCCTTACCAGATCGATGAAAGTACGGAAAATTCCCAGCTATATCATCTTGGTTAGACTAGATATGACGTGGGGGAGCAGCCCTCCGTGATCACGGTCGGCTCCAGCGCTCGCGAGAATCCGCCAAGCTCTGCTTGTCACATTAAGCTTTCCCCTCTGACAGGCACCAAGAACCCAGATCATAAAAGCCTTCAGTACTGAGACATTTAAATCACCGAGTGGATTTTAATAACCTCAGGATCTTCTCGGACCTTTAGGTCTGGTGCCGTCTCTGGATGCTTTCAGCGTACGGACATGCATGGTCTGGGGGTTATGAAACTGAGCTTCTCAACACCTACTTTTTCAGACCACGAATATGAAAATGCTCTTCTAACATTGCGTATGGAGACTGAAGCTGAGTCAGGAAGCTGAAGATTACATGTCCCTTCCAATGGCATCTTCTGTGAGCCTGTAAACAGTGACAAAATGTCAGTCTTTGATGTGCTGGATTTCCTGCCTTTTGTAGGCTGGAGTAGGTTGTCACGGGGGCCTTATGTGATTTTACTCCGTGGTATTTTCGCTGCTTCTAATTAAGTTGGCCTCTTCTCGGAATGAGCACTATGACAGATCAAGCCTTCATCATTTTCAGGGTCGAGGACCTGAACCCGGACGTGCAGGCGGATGTCTCCAGCACATACTGAAACATTAGTCGTGTGGAAATTTTTGCCTTTCATCAGCAAAACATAAACCTGATGGCCCTATATAACCAGGCCGATCCCAACGCTCTCCTCAATTTCACACTCAAACATTGTCCGTGCTGACCTTCTCAGGGTTCTTATATCCGGTGGTGTCCTATTGTTCTTCCTCCCTCAGCCTGTCTGCACGGGCAGCTGTCGTTTCCATCGCCGCTTCAACCACCCCCCTCCAGGGCCCAGTATGAGTCAGAGCAATCAAACAGGATTGCTCCAACACATTTTGCCCTGCTTGGGGGGAGGGGGGGTTAGGGTCATGCTCCACTAGCTGCCACACTGGCCACTGGCCAGAAGTGATGCTAGATTTCACAGGGTCAGCCACCACACCCTGATTTCCAGTAGTAATTCAGCACTCTTGAAGGCACGGCCTTGTAATTTTCTGCCTTTTTTGTTATCATTTTAAGAATAATTCGCTGCAAGGCCTTGATTGATTTGTTTGCTGAATCCGTGGGAACTTGAGTTGCTGCCAGGACCTGGGTGTGGAACTCCGAGTTTGTAGAATAGAAAAATCATTGAGAATCAAAGGCTGGCTGGCAGGAACAACCCCAGTGGGGTATTAAACCTACCCAACTCCTTTCTCCTACTCCTGATGACTGGCTCAGCTTTTTGCCTGTAGCACAGGCTTGGAGGAGGTCTTTCAACCTTCTCTTGCTCCTTGTTGGGTTGAAGAGGGCAGGTCTATATCTGCAGGCTATCGTCGTGTAATACCATGCGAAGGGGGTCTCAGTTGTCGGTCGCTCTGCCGACCCGCACGTCACAGTGGCCTGTATGTGATCCCGATCGGCTGCTTGACTCTGCAGACCGTTTGTTTTCCCCCCTACATGCCTGTGGTTTTGCTTCGTCTCGTCGCGCGTGTTCAGTTGATGTCCCGCGGATTGCTGTTTACTGGAACAGGCATCACGTGGGGGGGTTTTGGCTCATTGGGAGAAGCGGTTCAGGGGCGTTATCCTACCCTTTGGACCGTCCGCAGAAGGTCACCTCGAAGCTCCGGGAACACATCCGCTTCCGTGCAGCCGCTGTTATTCCAGTCGGGCCTTTAATTCCTCCGTCCTTCGCTCCACCTGCTTTGCACATCCCGCCTCGCGGTGGTTAGTCATCACAGTGACTTTGAAGCTTAATTAGAGTAACAGCTCTCCTTTTCTTGAACATGTCAGCCTCGGCATAACGAGGAAATTCTTATTAACTTCAACGCTGTCAAGACAAAGCGTGCAAGCACTTGTGGTACAATGATAAAATTACACAGTTTGCTTGAGTGACCTAAAAATATACATGATAAAATAAGATTCCACGGCAATGAGGAGTAAAAGGCAGGGAATAGGCACATTATTCCCCCCTGCCTGTCCCTCTGTAACTGCTGTCTGTTGGCTCTCAGATTTTACCTATACGTGACCGGAGCACATTAATCACCAGGCCATTATATCTGTCCCATTAAGCTCAGACATCTGCCTCTGCACCCAGTAAAGACGTCATGGAGAAATTGCTCGTCAACCTCACCTAAAGACGCCTTTGACGGAAAATTCTGGTAGATTCCTGAAGCCTGGCTCCCTTCAGGTTAAGGCTGATTTGTAGAGTATTTGATTGGGCAGTGTGCTGCTGTAACTGGTCATAACATTTTGGTTTATTGCAGCTGTGGTTTGCTTGATTGCACGGGGCCAAGGTCATATTGCATTCAGCTTCTTGCAGAGGGACCCCCTCTGAGCTCCTGTAGTCCTGTGTCCCTCCCCAGCTCCCCGAAACGGTTACTGGTTATGGATTAGCGGAAGTGCATCAGAGCGCGGATGCCGACGGTGTGAGAGGAATCCGGGCACGTTTAGATGAGGTTCAACTCATGGAACATGGAAGACAGATGGCTTCCATATGTGTTTGTGCAAGAGCAGTGAGGGGCTCTGGGCTCTGAATCCTGTTCCTGTACCTCGATGTCATCACCCAGTGTCATCGTATTCCATGTGCCTTTGATCTGAAACTAGTGTTAAATTAACTTGCTGTTTTCTTAATCAATCAGCATGTTTGCTGAAATCACACTGCAGTCATTATCACATTATTTGGATACGGCTGACTGTAAAACAGCAGTATTTGTCAGTTTGGGAAACATCGATTTTTATTAATCCAGACACACCACCAGCAGTTTTAGGGGCTTCTGTTCCCATGCTGGTACCAGTCATGCATACCAGACATGCTTTGAAGGTCTAGACTGATGAATGACAGAAATGAAAAGCTTTTAACTGACCAAACAGCTCCTTAATATTTTACAAATAAACATTGCAAAATTGTTTTCATTCTGATGAATTTTTAGACTAATAAAGTGGGCAAAAACACAAATGACAGGAGCACTTGGCTATTTAATGACTCCCAGATCAGTCTTGTATGGCTGTTCATTATGCACTTGGGACTTTGGGCCAACATGGTTTTAAGTGTCTGATTTGAGGATGCTTAAGCTAATGCTAACCCTAAGCCTAGTCCTTCAGTTTAGTGCAGGGTTATTCAACTCACGGTCCTCGAGGTCCGAGCACTGCTGGTTTTCCAGCCTTCCTTTACCTGTCAGTCAGGTGTGAAGCCTCTGACCAATCAGAATCAGTACTTATTAAACTAACTACCTGGGAGAACTGAAAACAAGGACTGGATTTGGAATCGAGGTCCAGATTTGAAGAACCCTGGTTTAGTATTTGCCAGTGCAGTGTTGAGGAAGCTGCCCTTTGTCCTGCCCCCACTGGATGGCATTGTTGACTGTGAGAACTGTCTTCTTTGGTACCTGTGCATAATGAATCTTGCTGTCTTCATTCTTTATTCTTCATTGTTTAACCCTGTTGAGTTATTACATAGAATATCTTTTCATATCTGAGGCACAAAGACTTTCACTATTTTAATAGCATTTAGCGTTAGGTTTGACCATTCTGTGTATTACGTGTTGTTAACATTAGATAAAATAATGGTTCATCCCGTACTTCCCTATCTGGTCTACAGGAGGCAGCAATTAGTAGTCTTAGTTACCTCCTTGACAGAAGTGGCTTCACAGGGAGTGAAGTAGAATTGTGTGTCCCTCAAAAGTGCAACAGAGGGACAATGAAGTTGCACGATCTGGCATCAGTTGACATGGAAATACACTAGAGCTGTAGCTGTATTATTAATTTGGAAATGTTGCAAGTGTCTGAGCTCCTGAGGCCTTTCAGTGTCTGAGCTCCTGAGGCCTTTCAGTGTCTGAGCTCCTGAGGCCTTTCAGTGTCGGAGCTGCTGAGGCCATTCAGTGACTGCTGTATTTCAGTGTCGGCTCATGGGAGCCGTGCACCAGCATGTTCTCCATGTCGGCACAACTGTGCTTTTTAATGCGAACCAAAATCATGTGGCATGTGCAATCACTTAAAAGGCCTCTCACCACCTCTGTCAGGGACATGTTCACCTGCGGTTGAAAGAATCTGTGAGATCCACCTGGCCTGTGGGTTTGGCTTCACTGCTCACATTAGTACTTGTGGCTGTGTGGGAAATGTTTACTCAGCCACTATATAATCCACTATACAATCACCATTTTACATTCATGCATTTGACATTAGCGGTTTTGGTTATTCATGAGTTGACCATGAATGGTTAAACGGGAATATTTTGGAGTTTGCCAAAACATACCAGAAACTCATTGATGACAAGCCGAAAAAACAGTACTGAAAATGTTATGGATCACATAAAAATGTATAATATATAAAGATTATTAATACATAATATTTGTTAGTGTAAGTGCATACTATATCTTTAATATTAAGTCTTGGCTTATGTATGCTATGGATCTTTGTCTTGGCAACCAGCCTTACTCACGTTAGCTGTTTTTGTGGCAGTGGATTCTCGTGTGTCTTGCAGTAACTTGAAAACTCTTAAGTGCCGTTAATTTTGTCCCAGTGCATACTGCAGTAACTTCGTACATAAAGTGGCATAATTTAGATGGTTTGTATTTTATATAAAAAGGACTCTGCCGGGGTACTGGAGCGGAGGGTCCGTCCGTTGGCCGAACCTCTGGTCCAGGAGGATCAATGCGGATTCCGTCCTGTCGCGGATACTGGAGGGTTCATGGGAGTTTGCCCAACCAGTCTACATATGTTTTGTGGATCTGGAAAAGGCATACGACTGTGCTTCAGGAGTATGGAGTAAAGGGTCCGTTGTTGCAGGCCACCAGGTCCTTGTACAAACAGAGCAAGAGTTTGGTTCGCATTGCCAGAAGTATGTCAGACTACTTCCCGGTGGGTGTTTGATTCCGCCAGGGCTGCCCTTTGTCACAGATTGTGTTCATGACTTTTATGGACAGAATCTCTAGGAAACCAAGGAGCAGAGGTAATCCGGTCTGGTGGCCTCAGGATAGCATCTTCGTTTTTGCAGAAGGGATTGCCCTCTACCGGTGGGGGGTGAGTTACTGCCTCAAGCGGAGGAGTTTAAGTGCCTCAGGGTCTTGTTCATGAGTGAGGGAGGAAGAGCAGGACATCGACAGATGGATCTTTGCAGCATCAGCAGTAATGCAGACGCTGCATTGTTCTGTTGTGGTGAAGAGGGAATTGAGCTGGAAGGCAAAGTTTTCGATTTACCAGTCTATCTACATTCCTACCCTCACTTATGGTCATGAGCTTTGGGTAGTGACCGAAAGAATGAGATTGTGGATAAAAGAGGCAAAAATTAGTTTCCTCCACATGGTTGTCTGGGCTCAGCCTTAGAGATGGTGAGGAACTCGGACATTCAGGAGGGGCTCAAAGTAGAGCTGCCACTCCTCCGCATCAAAAGGAGCCAGTTGAGGTGGTTTGGGCATCTATCTAGGATGCCTCCTGGGTGACTCCCTGGGGAGGTGTTTGGGCATGTCCAACCGGGATGAGGCCCTGGGGCAGACCCAGGACACGCTGGAGAGATTATATCTATCTATCTATCTGTTGTCCTGAGAACACCTTGTTATTCCCCTGGAGGAGGTGGTCAGTGAGAGGGAGATCCTGGCATCCCTGCCTGTGTCCATGTTCTGGAGTTTGTTTATGCGACAGAGATAATTACAGATATCTAGCACTTAATTATGCAGCAGCGTAACATCCCCCTAGTGTGTGAAATGTATCAGCCACTGTTTGCCCTTATGCCCTAGTGAGTGTTCTATGTAATGCACCCTGTAGGGTGGGTGGGTGGGTGGGTATTCTGAACACAGCCTGTGGTTTTCACACCTTGGCCGGGCATTACCCGACGATCTTGGTTTGCCCCCAGAAATTGTGTGAGCATCAGCAGTGAGTTTCTTAATCACAGAGGTAATGTTGGTGAAAACATTTAAAACTGCTTAAAAGAATGTGGCTTATAATGTTAATGAGACACTGGAAAAACCCTGATGATGGAGAACTTTATGCCTTGCTCTCTATCAGTGCACGTTATTAACAAGGTAGAGTGGCGCACCATATTAAACCATAAGGTAACATTTGTTCTTCCGGAGACCATTGGCTGGGTGGGTGGGGGTGTGGTTCTCTATTGTATATCAAACATATTGATACTATTTCACTCGAAATGAAAGCTGGATTGAAGCCAATTGGGGCATTGTGAGTGCCCCTGTTTGATGTCTCCCTTTCTGATGGAAAGCTCTATGAAGCTCTCGTGTGAATTGGTTTATTGAAATCACCACAAAAGCAACGAGCAAGTCTGGGGCTGTGTTAAGCAAAGCCGTCCGGTTTTCATCGCTGTGGAGACAGAGTCGCTCGAAGGTCGCTGTCCAGGTGTTGCCTGGGAGTTTAGAGCAATTAAGCCGGCAGGCGGCTGTTGCTGTCACGGAGGCCCATATGAGGCCATTAAAAAGGTGCCATCGAGACGCTTCTGTGTTTCACGGCTATTCGTCCCCAGTGTGCAAGTCGCAGTGCTGATAGACACAGGTGTCCCCTAACAGGTGGCCCACATTCCCCGTCCATATGCCGCCCCGGAGGTAGAGGGTTAGGAGATGGACGTGAGGGGGAGCAAGTCACAGGAATGTCACGAAGTTCACCGAACACAGCAGCATGGTGACATTCAGTGATCGACTTTGTCCAAAGCTCAGGCCACCACACCTGTCAGCCGCATGCTGACCTCTGTTACCACTCTCAGCTTTTCCAGTAAAGCCACTTCTCAGAATCCCCCTAAACCTCTTGGACGGCATGTAAGGAAACAGATGGTAATCCTGTAGGAGTGTTTAAATCGAGAGCTTGTGGTGGCTGTGCTTCTGGGCGCCTCTCCAGAACATCCTTGCCACATCAGCAGTATGTAGGGAGGTGTAGCTCCATCCATCCGAGGCTGACGCCCCCCCCCCCCCCGCTCCTGCCCCAGCTTCACCTCATAAACCCTGCAGGTGTGCCTGTAGCTCTGCCTAGCCTGGTCTTCTCTGCACATCTCTGTCATAATAATGACAGTGTTTCCCAGTCTGCTCCTCTGGGACCCACAGAAAGTCCATATTTTTCCTCCAAAAACGTGGACTGGCTGTGGGACCCCAAGGACCGGATGGAGAAACGCTAATAATGAAATCTCAGACCACTGTCATTTTCTCCTAAAGTGGCTAATTAAAATATCTGCTTGGCTATACAGATGACTATAGGTGATCCTGTTAAGTGCACAAACACAATACCTGTCGCTTCTCATTAAGCTGTTTCTCCAGCTTATTGATGTGCCCTTATTACCCTCAAGGTGATCTAGCTAATCTGCCCTCCCTGGTTAATATTTATTTGCTGTTTGGGTGGAATTCTCTTTAGGGTACGTGCAGATAATCCGAGGCTCTAATGATCTCCTAAATTGCTTTTCTCATCCCACGTACAGCCTTGACTGTGGTGTTTTTAATAGCTTTCCATTCAGAGCTGCTCCCAGGCTCAGTTAGTCTTGTCTGGGAGACTCTGGGATTCACTCCGTTAATTAACCCCCCCCCCCACCTTTCCCCAGAGGAGAGGCAGCCTGTCTGTTCGCCAGTGTGTCTGTCCCTCTCCAAAAACCACAAGAGCTGCCTGAAGATTCCGGGATGTCACTCTGCAGATTTCCTTCCACTCTCCAGGTCGCTGTTGACGTTTACGCACCGCAGCTCGGTCCGAGCTCAAAGGAGTATTAGGGTTTGTTTGTCATTTTAAGGTACCTCTGACAGGAAGGATCTTACAGGGGCCCTCGTACGAGAGTAGCGGCAATGCCCAGGCACTAAAAATAACGATCAGCGAACTATTATATCTGTTTCGTGGAGGATTAGATCAAAACAGACATCTGCTCCATGGCAAAGTAAAAACGAGCCAGAGTCTGTGATGTGCAACGTGAGAGGGGCTTTAAACATAGCTACCCAGAAAGGTCAGGGGTAGCCGGGGGATCTCTGGGATCTGTGACCTCCCTGCCTGCCTTCCACACCCACTCGTCCGGCCCGCGCTCCTCACTCCCCGAGGCGTCGGGGACATCCATTCGGTTAATGAAGCGAGCGGATGAGTCACGCTCAACTTTAATGGGGTTTTCCGAGACCTTGTGCAGGGGGTGAGGGGGGCTGAGGGTGAGTGTGTGGTTATTTCTAGATCCCGTGGAGGTTGTGGCTCTATTAGATCATCAAGCATGGACCCCCCCCCCATTTCTATTTAGAGGTGCTGCTGTTAAAAATGATAACCCAGTTGCTCTCACGCTTATGTAAGCAGGCTATCCCGCCAGGGCGCTCGGTTCCTGTTTCAGCACCCCAAGTGTCTCCGAGCCCCCCCACCCCCACCTAACCTCAGCCGCGTCGCTCTCGTATCGCAGGCGCCTGTGGAAATCGGACAGTCCTCTCCTTGTTTTGTTCTTCCTCTCTGTGGCGTAGGTACCACGTGGTCTCATCAGGGTTAGTGTTCCAAAGTCAAGCCCCAGGTTTGTGTTCTTGTTCCGTTTTCGTTTTCTGGATTTATTTTTTTGGAGTTCTGTGGGTCTGTGGCTCACTGGCCGTACCTCCGTGTAAAGGCCAGCGAATCCTCGATCCTAAACCGCGCAGTTAGTCTGGTGAGGGGAGCAGAGGGGGTGAATCACAGGACGGGTGCACCTGGAAATCTCAGTAAGCGATGCACACGCTGTCCGAGCCTTTTTGTCGATGCCAGTGGCCCGTGCCGCCCCAGTCTGCAGCCAGGGGGCCGGGCAGCGGGCCACAGCGCCATTTCGGGGTCAGCGTCACATGGAGGGACCCGGGGCATCTGCGCAGGCCTTGCATGTATGTGCTGCAGACACGAGCCTTTGGGTGATCGTGTTTGGGGGAGAGTTCTCCTAGCCTTCTCTTTCCTGGGAATGGGTTTGCCATCCCATATGCAAGTGAAGTAATGAAGCTAATTACTGTAGTTCTAATTAGTATTTCGAAGGACCGTTTTACCGCAAGTGATGCAGTAAGTTAATCGTCTTGCCCAGAGCCGTGCGGTGTGTGTGTGCGCGGAGTGCCGAACGCTCAGCTGGCGCATGCGTGACGCACTAAAGCCCTTTTCACGCCCCTCTGTGTTGATCCAGGAGGATTTCCGCAGAAAAGTTCAGGATTTCATCAAGAGCTACGCCAGATGACTGCAACAGCTGTGCCACTGCGAGGTGGACGCCTCCCACTGCATGGCACTGCACGTCTACCGAAGACCCAGACTCGCTCATAAAGGAACGGAAAAAAAGAAAAAACTAACTAAAAATGTAAAGTGCAGCACCTGAGGAAGAGGGTACTTTATCACTCCAGAGTGGACACAGCGGCAAGGGGCACGGAGCCGGCCCTTGTGTGTATGTGCGTGCGTGTGTTTACGCACATGAATGTGTGTATGTATGTTACGGTGTGCGTGTGCGCGTGCGTGTAACACGAGTGTGTCAGACTGAGCCACTGCATGCTATTCACGCTTTGCCCTTTGACCTCTTGGGCAGCCGTGTCCTCAGCCTGCCAGGCTCCATGAGCTGTTGTTTAAAGGTGCAGCGTCCTTGCTTTGGTCACACCCCCCCCCCCCTACCCCAACACAGTTCACTTTGCCTTCCTAAACCCCGAAGGACCGGCGAGGCCCCCTATCTTTATTTAAATCCTCCAGTCCTTTCTCAGTTGTTTTTTTTTCCCCTCAGAATTGTGTTCATTTTTTTAAGTATATTAAAGATGGAATATAATACCAAGCAGTGGGTCTGCCTTCCTTCATCGACGCGACCCGCCGACAAGAAGGGCGGTGTGCTGTCAGGGCCTCGTGTGCCCTGCGGGGGGCGCTACCTGGCAGCCAGCCTCTTTCGCTATGGGACGAATTCTGGGAGGAGTACCTCATGCTGCAGTTCGGCGTGGCCCCCTGATCACCATGTGCCTGTGGGAGGTGATGGCCGTCCGTCGTGAGGATCGCTGCCCGCTGAGGCCCTAGCTGGGACCTGCCCGCCGGTGAAGGACGTATCTGTAACATGCCTCTGGCATCCGGGCGCTGGGCCTGCTCAGTCACTCCGCTCTCTCTGCCGTATTATACATTTTTACACTTCATATTATGCTGATGAATTCACAGGTTGAGATTAGCTCTGTGTTTTATGGTGTCTCACTGTATTAGTTATGCGAGTTGTGTTTTTAAAGGCGCTGTGGCATTGAGTGGCTATGCATCCTCAGGCCAGTCTTAATGTGAGATTTCCGGGAATCCAGACAGAAAGAGGTATTGGAAAGAATTGGATGACCTATACCTTATTACTCTTGGTATCGAGTTATCTGAATTCTGTATGAAGAGCATCAGTCATTATTCTGTATCTAAGTAGGTCAAACTACTAAATTCGGCATAGTAGCTAACTAGAACCAATTCGACTTAGAGGTTAGTTAATGAATATGGTTACAGATCCCATCCATCATCTTCACCCTGTGGAATCTTATTGCATTCATATATTAGCCTCACAGTCTCGTTGTGTGGGTGTACACAGGCATAACCCCCCCCCCAAGAACTGGCAGCTGTTAGTCATACTTAGTAGGGATAAAAAAAAAGAAACACTGATGTTATTTTATTTTATAGATTTCTATGAATGCCTGCTTCCTTTCCTGAATAAAGTGATTATATGAGGCATACCTGCCGTGCTTTAGACTGACCCATGCATTCTGCATTCCTTAATCTCTAATCGTGTTTCCTAAAATCACAAATGTAAGTGGAGGAAATGAGAAAATTCTCCTCTTCGTTCAGAGCGAACTATTATATACTCCAGTGAAGACCACCACCCATGGCGATCGTTGCTAGTACTTAAACTGTAACATAAATATATTGTCCTGACTAACCAATATTGCAGGAGGTTCTCCTTATATGATGATTATCATTCTTTGCTCTGCTGTTATATGATTGAATTTTAATGAGTGGTTTTATTGTAGTACTAATCTGTGACAAATTAAGGTGTTAATATTATGGGATTCAATGATTCACATGCCCTTACAGAACTATGGTTATGGTTAAGGTTACTTTATTGTCATCAACAGCTTTATATATGTACAAAGTGTGATGAGACGACGTTTCCCTATGGCCCCGGTGCAACATCTAGTAACACTGAGCGTCACATTCAACAGGTGCAAAAGGTGCAATAACATTATAGTGCACAAGAAGTTACAATGAATATGGGTCATGTTAGTTGTGGTAATTAGTGAAACTTGTTTTCAAAACCCACATTGGATGGGGATCATTGTGCTTTGTCAGTCACAGATAAGTTAAAATCACTTACAGTAATTCTGACTCCCAATGGGATTAATTATAAACTGATGGACATGGTATATCAAACCACTAAGCAATGCGAAGCCTTGCCTCTCCAATCTCTAATAATTGTTTCCTGATATAACTTGTGGTGAAAAGGTGTGACTGACCTTCATATTGATGGTTCCACATCAATTCGAGCTGTCACTTTGCAAGCACATGGCCTAACCCCAGAGCCCAACTTCCAGATCTGACACGCTAAGGATCCATCCATCCTGTCAGACACGTAGAGTTTTACCCGATTTTTTTTTTTGTTGTCCGTAAACTTGAGAGCCTTGATTGAACCTCTGATTGATGGAGTCATAATTGTGGACGTCAATATGAACAAACCGTTCGTGGAAAAGTCTGGGTGACCTTCTGCTGTCTTTCGGTTCATTTACATTCTGTGCAATCATCCCACTTGCCTGCACCCCTATAATAAGCCAGCTACACCCATCCTGGACGTAACACATGAATCCCACCTTCACTTCGCATGGTTGTCCTTGACACAAAGGGACATGTTCTTTCACTTTAATGAAGTCCCCTCATCTTCCCAGGCGAGCTTTGCCTAGTGCTGGGATACCTGCCTCCCTACAAATATGAACGACTCCCTCAGATTCTTTGATCTAGCTGACGATAAAACCGCTCCTTTTTTCGGAGGGATTTTTGACACGGCTGCTTGATCTGCCGAGTGTCTGTTTCAGCAAAGCCTGCTCCTGTACCTGATTAGAGGGGTTTTTAGGCTGGTTTTCCTGGCTCATGGAGCCATTCTGTATTTTCAGGTTCTGAGGAACCAGCTTATGTAAACTGGGTGGGGGTGGGGGGCTTTAAGGTAGGGGCACAGTATTCCACCTGGCTGTGGGATGCTGCGGGTTTGGTGTCTGTTGAGTTGATTAATTTCCATAAATAATTTCTTTTTTTCCCCTCAATGGGGCAGTGAGCAGCTCAGTGGGTTAAACCTTGGTGTGATCAGCAGGTCAAAGGTTCAGGCCTCGTCCTCTGCAGTCACATGTTGGTGGGCCCTTAACCCCCAGCTCTGGGGGTGGGGGGGTTAAGGATTTATCAAAATGCATGATGGTTTTGGTGTCAGATTTTAACTATTTTATATGGATCACAGTACCTGTAACCTCCAGGCCCCCCCGACCCCGATGGCTGTCAACGGATGGAGGATGAATACAGCTGGTATGCAGTGACATGAATGTATAACTGCAGCATTACCTAGCTGTTTAAGCTTTATGGAGTCATCTTTAGCGATGTGTGAGTGATGTTCCCTGACTCCGCTTTGACTCCCGTTGTTATGTCTGTGCTAACTAGTCTGCACTGAGTGACAGCCGGTTGAGGAAGCGGCTTCCGCACTGTTTGCTCAGATAGCAGGACTGACGCCTGTGTTTGTTTTCCTAGCATCTGCTTGTGGTGGGGGGGGGGGGTTGACTGACAGGCAGAATATGGGCAAGGGAGGGGGGCCTGAGCTTCCGGGGGGGAGGGAACACAGGGGATGTGGGGTGAAGTGGCCATGTGGGGGGCGAGAGTGCCAGAGATAGGGGGAAGTGTGCAGGTTCGAGGTAAGGACCTCATTTCGTGAGGATGAACAGGGCAGGATGAGCTTTTAGAAGGTGCAGGAATTTAAATTACATTTTTAGGTATAGAATTCCTGGCTAGCAGAGTTAAGTAAATTACAGACATAAAGTATCGGTCACTACAGTCTGCCTGAGAGTATGCTGGTCCTCTGCTGAGGACGTGGCGTTAGCCGGGATGTTTAATGAGCTGCTTTGCTTGCCGAGCGCTTCCCCCCGGATGCGGTGTGGGCCACTTCTCATCGCTGCCACCGAAGAATCCTGCCTTACGGGGAGGGAGTGGCTCAGCAGGAAAGCCGGAGGGATCTTCTGACGCCGATGGCGACGCCGAGAGGCCGAGCAGCATTCCGAGGACGGCGAGGGAATCCCCCATGCAGCTGCATTCGTTTTCTTTTCACCGAAAGCAAATATACTTCTTCTTTTTCTTTTTCAATTGCTGTCTTGAACTTTATGCCTTCTATATCAGATATGTTACTCTGACCTGGCCTTCACACCCTCACTCAGTTTTACAATCACATACAACGTCTGATAAACCCAAAAGCACAACGGCTACGTACCGCAGAATGTCATGTGTATCTCAGAGATAAAGCTGTTGCCCGCATGTTCTTGCATATTCATATGAGTCAGGAGGCTGCACTCTGACCAGTGTAAAAATAATTCTGAGCTTGACATGCTGGGCTATTTCGATGCATGGTTATTATTAACCTTAGACACAGTCGTTTTCTTATTTTGAAACCTATGTGTGCTGTCTGGCAGGTGATCTGCTCAGGTGTGCCTCCTGTTTCGGTGATTCCCAGTTTTGTTTTCACCACAAACAAAACTGGATGGTAGACGAGAGCCTGGCATATGCATCTGTGCAGACAGTCCATGAAGCTCAAGTAAGAGTTTGCGCTGGCAGATTAATCTCTGCCACCATGATAAATTAGTAGTAGTCCCTGATGCAGGAACGGAGGATCCCTTTCTTAATACATTTCTCAAATAGGCAACTGCAGAAACTTTCAGAGCGAGTCAAATTATTCAATGGTTCACTGGGGTTTTCTCTGATGGCAACAGACATCTTCTCTGCGATCGCTTTGCCGTGCAGGTCTCTGTGTAGCTGTGTTTTATTATGAACAGCAGAGGAGCAGATTGTTAAATGTTCAGTATTTTAGTTACTCGCTGGAGCAAAATAGGAACTTTGCACAACTTTGTTCCTTGGGGAGTTTGATTCCTGCTGTCACTGGGCTGTTACGCCTCTGCACATAGGGGGACTTGGTCTACAGCAGTCTGGTCCAGTGTTTCATTTCTCAAGGGCCCAATTTCCATGAGAGAACCTTTAATGGGAGTAAGTACGTACTCTAAAACAGTAATCTGTGGGTTTGGTACTTAAAAAGGTTGCTAATTTTAGATTGTGCCACTTCATAACGGCAATACGCTGTTCGGCAAACTGAGAGGCTCTTGGTCGTTAAGGGTGAGTGTGTCGCCTCAGTGTCCGTCTGAATCTCACACGAATTCACAGAACCGAGGCCTATCATTCTCTGACAAGCAGGAATTGTAATGCATTCACTCCATTACTGGCACCCAGTCCCACTGTCATTATCTGGTTCTTGGATATTCATCAGAAAGTGAGTCGTGTTGGCATCAGCTGGCAGTGGATTCCCCGCATTCATACAGAGACCTTCCTGGGGATGTCAGCACTGTGAGATTGCTTGACTTCTGGTCACGTTTGTAGTAGGTGCCTTGGCAGTATTACTCCTGAAGGCAATCGATTCTGTTCGGGCAATACTGTTGCTGTTCATGAAAAATCGGTGTCTCCCTCGACACGAGTCAATTGAAAGACATCTGTCCACCTCGGGCTTTTTTATCTTCTCATTTGTTAGTGCGGAAAATACAATGATCTTAACTATCTCTGTAGTGGAAAAATCAAGGAACAATATCTATGTACTTTAGAGGGCAGGAGGTCTAGTCTAGTGCAAACAGGCTGAAACGTCATCAGTCTAGCATAATATTAAACTAAAGAGCAACATGAGGAAAATACTTTAATGATTAACGTTGATTTAAATTTTTCATTATTTATGTGTATTTCATCATACTAAATTCATCCTGGGATAAGCTTCAGCGGACCCTGCCTGGGGTAGGAATTTGGAAAATGGGTGAATGGAATAGTTATAGAGCCATCTTCTGTTATAGCCTTGTTTGGTCCGGTTCAGACAGACGGGAGTGTTATTCAAGCCCTTCTGCGTGATGCAGTGTTCACGTGTCAGGGTGTTGTGCACCAGTTATGCATCAGATTGTTAGATTACTGGTTTCCCCTTTGAGGACTGATGTGTTTATAATAATTAACATTGATTTAAATTTTTCATTATTTATGTGTATATTGTGTATATTGTTCATCATATTAAATTATGTGTTCCTATTTGCTTTTTTATGCTTATACACGATAAACTATACAGTATGTTAAAGTATATGTGCCAGATATGTATGTGTTTTAATGTTGTTTAACTTCTGGGGATTCCTCTTTTATGGTTTTATTTAGCTACTCTAAAAGGAAACTAGCTGCTTCTTATATACATGAATCCAACAGAATCAGTCAAACATTGTGTTTTAAAGAGATAATTTAACCATGTGTCTTTGTCTATGAGGCGTTGTGAATTTTTTTAACTGCCTGGAACTAAATAGACAAATCTGGCTTGGAATTAGTTTGAACCCATGGTCATGTCTGAAAGTCAGAAGCCTAACCATGCCCAAGATGTCGATCAACTGATATTCTTTCCGCAGGACATCAGTCCTATTCTGGGATGGGGCTTAGACAGCAGTTTGGTGCTATAGTCCTGATGTCCTACAGTATGGTATCCACCATAACATAAAGCCTACAGCGTCTTCATGACAAATGTTTACTGCCAGAAGAGGCAGTCTGAAGATAGATGAATGGATGGATAGATATTTAATAGCTTAAAAAATTGTCATAGCAAAAGCAACTTTCATCTTCATAATGGCGATGAAGGATGATTCATAAACTCTTGTCTAATCACGATGTTTGTTTACGGCATGCATCTCAGTACACGATATCTGTAATGAAATACTGCTGTTGAGTGTTCTTTGCTGTATGCAGATTCATCTTCTTTTAAGTCATTTGCATTTAGATGCATTTCATACCTGGTTGGACGAGGTTCTTACTGGATGCCTGTGTACTGCCGTCACAAAACATCACACTCAGTATCGTTTACATTTTCAGTATGATTGAATAGATTTTGAAAATGGAAAATGCATGTTTGAGACAGTCAATTATGCAGATGTCTTACAGTATCACACTCTCTTTGCACTTATCAGGAAGAGGTGATGAGGGTGTCAAGTCACATGAGAATATTGAGGCTGAAACTGAAAGTTATTTCACTTTTATTAATGAGCGACTCAATATGTGATCAGAAACCTGTGTTTTTACGTGATATATGGAATACCTGTGCGATGGGGTGCTCATTGTGCATGGCTGAGGAAGTGGATTTTAAAACAGCATTTTTCTTAATGCATTGCTGATAATTTTGCAATCACTGGAAAATTTATAGACATTCATTAAATATCCACCTGGCCTGTCAGGGAGATATATTGTCAGGTGATTTTATCTGGGTTTTTGTGTGTGTTTGGTGATCCTTGATTGGTTCCCTTGTAAATGATTTATAAATGATAAATTTCTCTTAATACACAGCTTTACAATATTTGTAAGCTGTTTACTGATTTTTTTTATGAACATTACAAGATGGAACTCGAAATCAGATGTCATAAACAGGCTTTATTAACAGATCAATGCTTTCAATAACATTAATAAATACAGAACAATTACTGAGAATGTTGTTATAAAACACCTATTATGATATCCATGGACAGTGACTGGTGGGACTAACAGTGATAGTCATAGACTGGTTTAACTCATCCGTTTGGTTGCTTTAAGTTCCCATTGGACCAGACTATGTTACTTTGTATCTCCAAAGCACATCAGATGGTGAGGAATTAAGTGCATGCTGGCAGATGTCCTGTGGATTGTGCCTTTTGTCTGCTCAGTCTTCATTTTTCTCTGCTCTCTGGTATGTTCCTCAGCTGTTCAGGACAAGATGCTTTCACATAAATGCCTATTGACCCCATGACAGAGATGGAAAAAGCTCATCCAGCTGTATACAGAACCTCCCAGCAAACCCACTGCCTTTGAAGTACCTTACATATGGTCCATTCTGGGATGACATCCTTCTGACTTATATGACTGAACATAGAACCGGGAACTAGGTTGTCACAGGTGTGGTCAGCTGAAAACAGTTTTACCACTGAGGAACATTTTTCTGAATTTTTCTTACATTTTAGTCAGATCTTTGAGGTTCTAACAAAGATCTCTGCCATCTATATATCTGTCATCACATAACTGACACATACAGCTATGAATAAACTTCTAAATTAAGAGATATTGGTTTTATGTACATATACAGTATCCTACCAAAATCCGTGGGACATGTTTCTGTGATGTAAGTATTTTGGCTTGCAAAGGATAAAATGGGTGTGTGCAGTGTAGCTTAGCTTCAGAGGACGACGAGAAGGCGAAGACCAACTTTCAACTGGTCTCATTTTTGATGGCACATTTATTAAAGCCAAAGGCAACTCCAAAAAATCTAATATACATTAATTACTGGGCTTGTGTTATGAATTTTGATAGGATGGTGTAATTACTATATATGTGATACATCTTGCACAGTGAACAGAATGTCTGAACCTAAAATGTGCTCTTTTTCACAGAGAATAATACCTGCAGAAATCCAGGCAACGTGAATATTAGTGAGGAGATTCTGTGGTTCTGGTGCCATTGTCCTTCCGGGGAAACGGGATCCTGCAGTGGTTTGTGTTGGGCTGCTGTCTATGCCGATGCAGGCTGTCATGTGATTTGGCCAGCCTCCAAATGTCCAACAATGGACTGCGGTGATATGCGGTGTATGTGTGCTGTTCCAAATCTGGAGGGATTCTGGGGCTTCCTTAATTAATCCGCCGGGGCCCTCTTTACGGTTCATGCTCTGTGTCTTCTGTGAAATATGTCACTTTTAGAAACATCCATCGTTGATTCTTTGTAGTGTCTCTTCTATCCCACTGCTGACCACAGCAAATCCCGTAGGGTCCTACGGGTAAAAACCCCATTACATGATACCCTCGCTGCGTTTGCTCCTCCACACCACTAGGGCAGTGATGAGCAGCGTGATGAGGATGGGCACCACAATAAAGGGACCGAGGATACGGCTGGGTGGGTCCTGCAGCAAGCGGCCCGACAGGGCACAGTTCTGGAAGTAGTGCTTATGGATGCGGATGAAGAAGTCGTTGACCAGGTGGTTGGGCCAGAAGCAGTCCATGTTCAGGGCTATTACGAAGGTGCAGTTCGTCAGCTGCCCGTAGGACCTGCAGGAAGGATGCATCACAGATGCTTTAGGCAGATGCTCAAAATCTCCAACGTGTGATGAGAACCAAGAAGAATGAAACAAGATGGACAACCCATTCAATAGGTGGTGACAAGCAGTACAGTGGTTAAGGATGAGGTTCATGAGCAATGGGTGCTTGGTTTGTAGTTCAGCCAAAACAAAAAAAGTTTGTTCATGTGATGGTGCACATTGTGCCATGAGAACCCACAAACCCGCCCTACAAAACGAGCAGCCTTATGACAAAAATCTGCAGAGACCTGAAGGTGATGACCACCAGTTACTTCCTCTATATACCCAAATACCAAAACACCTGCAGCCAGCAGGGAGAGAAGAAACCCCCCCCCCGAACCTGTAGCCACTATAGGGGATGTAATAAAAGGTATTGCGCATTATAAAAGAGCCAAAATCAATATGAACCACTCCCAGTCTGCCCTGAAATGCAAACAAACCCAGGCAACCTGGTGGACAATCTCTGCAGAGCAACAGATAATAAATACTGGGGCATGAAGCTCGGTCTGGCTGTAAGGCCTGCAATCAATCACAATGCGACTTTGCATGCGAGTGTGGAGAGAAAATGGAGAACTAACAGGTAGCTGTTCCATTAGCTAGAGCGCTGTCCTCCTGTCCCCCACGACAGAGAAGAATTATGGAGGTTGCAGCCCTGTGCCTCTGAGGCAGGTAACCTCTCTTGTACCAGTCGCTGGCTGTTCTGTAGTGCAGAAGCAGCTCCACATGCTGACAGAGCGAAATCGTGAGGTAGCACAAAATCCCAGGCGGGCAACAATCGGTCGGTCCCCCAAGCCTCATCTGCAGTGTCAATGTTCATGCGATGACTCTTGTTTCATACTGATGTAGTGCTGTTTGGTTTATTTTATCACAACATATAAAGTTCAAAATCCCTATTAATGATGCAGGCTGTAAAGCGAATGCCGCTGGTGTAAGTGCAGGGAAATCTATAAACAGTCCTTAAAGGACAATTTCCGAAGGTCCCCAAGAGGTGGACGCGGTCAGCGGTGCGGCGGATGGGTGCTGCTGGGAAGTGTTTGCTCAAATGCCGGGTTCCATGCATCTGTTACTGACATTTCACTGCATAAATGATGATGAATAAAAGAGCATTTGGGACACAGACTCCCGACTTCTGTGGTATATATTTTTTTTAACATCACAAGAAAGTTGACATTAACAGACGATCGGTCCCACCCCCTTACATAAGTAAAATACACACAATACAATACATACTCTTTTGTGTTAACTTAAAAATATATAAGTTGCACTATTTTAATAAATATTAATTGAGGTTAATATGTTATTTGTACCTGCATCCCTGTCCAGGGTAACTGGTTAGAAGATACACGGGTAGATGGATGTCATTTCTATTAATACTAGAAACATAAATCCTAAAGAGTGAGTGTATTGTCCCTGAAATTAATCAGCACAGCTGACAGAGCAGTTGACAGCTGTCCTTGGCGCGCGCGCACACACACACACACACACACACACACACACATAAACACACACGCACGCACACACACGCACACACGCACACACACACACACGTAGGGTATACATATCCTTATGGGGACCGCTCATTCATTTCAATGGGAAAAATGTTAACGCTAACTATGACAACCTTAACCCCTACCCAGCCCTAACCATAACCATAAGTAACCTAACAAAATACAAGAGTTTTTGCATTTTTAGTTTTTTCATAGCAGTCACCGATTTTTATAAAATAGAGTTTTCCCTTATGGGGACCAGGAAACCGGTCCCCACAAGGGAAAAAAAACAGATATTTATCATGTTATGGGGACATTATGTCCCCATAAGGATAGGTAAACCCGCTCACACACACACACACACACCTCCTACCACTTCTGACTGAAGAGCTGGGAAGCAACACGTCTTCTTTTCAAGTTGTTGAAATGGTTGGGGGGGGGGGGGGGGTCAGGATGATGGATGGACCAGAGGGCTGCAAATGGTGAAAGGCCTGTAAGGGGGGGGTGGAGGTGAAACCCATGGGCCCAATTCATGCTGCTCAAAAAAATTTAACGATTTCTAATTGGGGGAGGGCAGGTGTCCGTAGCCTTCACCTTTGTTTTCCGCTGCATCTATCACTTGCCAGCTATCTTGGGGGGGGGGCATCCTGGCTGGATTGTGTCCAGATAAACCGGACCGTTGATCCTAATAATCCTTTTGCACCCCGAGAGGCCAGCAGCCGCACAAAGGCGAGCACATGTGTCTGCATTCCTCAGGCTTGGGATTTCACTCACATGCGGGAGTCGCTGCAAATTAATATCGAGCTGAACAGCCAGATATGTGAGCCCAAGACATCTCCTCATCCATCCTGATTGTCATTCATGTAAGAAACAGTCTAGGTTTATGGAATGTTCTGAAATATAGGATGTACTGCACACATCCCGTCCTCTAAGTAATTTTAGGTGACAATGCAGTGACTGATGCAGAGAATGTCCAGTGACACACTTCCTTTGCTACTGGTGCTACAGGAATCTCATAAAGTGGGTTTCAACGTACCAACAATGTGTGTAATTATCCTTGAACTGGAAATAATAAAACCAAATTGATCCTAAACGCTACGGCTTAGCGTTCGCGCAAGCTTTGTCCTCGAGTGAAGAAACGCATAAGCATCAGAACACATACAACAGCAACCAATTCAAATGCACGTTATATAAGCATACGTGATGTTTTTTATTACGTCCTTTTACTGTAAAGCACTACTCCACTTCATGAGGTGCAACATGTAAACAGTTTATTGCACATATGACAGAGACCATGCCGATGTTCTACTCTTCTCCCAATATGTCTGTCTAAAACAAGCTATCCAACACATTTAGCATATTTCTACTGGCTGAATTACAGCAAGGCTTGACACGGCTAAAAATAACCAGATAGGCAGCTGGGGTGGGGGGGGGGGGGGTGAATAGTCATCAACCCTCAAACAACAACACCCCCATCCGTGCCTCAGCACACCTCACCGTGCCCCTTTCAAACCACGGCCATTAAATCACTTAAAGGCTTTCCCATGTCTACAATAAATTGTTGTGTGACTTGCTTTTCACACCTGAGAGTAATTATGTCACACGAGAGACCCCTGGGTTAAGTCATAATAGGGGTAAATGATGCTGCATTACAAGTTTTTGCTGATGGTCACACACCCGGGAACCAGGATAATTGTACTGAGTCCGTCCCAGGAGCTGTGCAACTGATCAGTGACAGTGCAGCCCTGCCTCCGACCGTTAGGGGTTTGCACAGTAACATTGTAACACCTGAACACACTACAAAGGAGATGCCATGGAAACGGGTGTGTTGGTGTGTGGCTGCTGCTTGAGAATGAATTACGGTCCACAAGGAAACTCTGCCAGACAACCAACAAGAAAACGACGACATGTACTGCACACAGACCGCTGAAAGGTGCTGCGCATTGAGGGCCTTCAGCTCAAATTTTAACAAGCCAAAAGGAGAAGGTGTTTAGGAAATTAAAATAATACTTATGAAGTCATGTGACCGCATCCATGGTTTTTAAATACAGAGATATCTTCACAGCAGTTCTCACATAATTAGATGGTGGCACCTTGAGTCCAGCACAAGTTCCAGGGAGACCAGAGTAAGTGAAAAGGATGTGACCGTTCTTGGTTTTCAGTGATAAAGGCTACATCTTCCGAATGTCACCAGCCAACGACGGAAATATAATTAGAGAAGACATGATTATAGAAAAACTGATACTTCTCTGACACTTATGAATTACTCTGCCAAACCATTAAAAAATTATGCCTTTGTGGGTTTTTTTTTAAAGAACCTATTCTCAACCACCTGCCTTTTAAGGGGTGAGGGGAAAGTGTACTTCTGAAAAGGAAAATAGCCGACCGCTTGGAGAATCAGGTACAGGTTTTTATGACGTGCAGAAAATGTTTCTAGAAAGGTCTGGATCAGCTCAGTAAAACGAGCGGACTGGAGTGTGACTGCTGTGATTGGCCGCTCGCTCCTGACATTCCGGAAAGGAAGCTGTTTCAGTGATATATTAAAATCTGGTTATCTGGTGAGACAAGCAAAACTGTATTTTCTACCTTTATCAAGTTGTTACTAGGGCAATGTGTTGTGGACAAATGGTGCGAGACGTATTCACTTGAGTTTAAGTCACACATGAAAAAGGACTTTGACATTTAGAGACATCCCAGCATGCTGAAATTGCGCGATGACGACACTGCTGCCTGGGAGAGCACAGGGTCAGGCTTACTGCAAAGCCACTGCAGTCCCAGACAGTGGTTGACAACGGAGCTTAACAACAGTAGTTTAACTGAATGGAAACAAAAACGAGTCAAAAAATGTTGCTAGTGTGGTGACTGGCTGGGAGAAAAATGTACAGATCAAGGGAACCATGAGGACCAGAGATGCACACCAATGCATCACCAGAACAGCCGTGATCCCAGCTAACTAAAAAAAAGCGGATATCCACGGCTTTACTCCAAATAGACATGGTTTCAAAATGCTACTAAAATATATGCTTTTGTAATACCTGCACCACTTAAAACACTACCTTTTAAAGTGTTTTGCTTAGTTGACGACATGCACTGTATGACTTCATGATGGGATGGATAGATTACCAAATGACAATCCTCAGAAAAGCTACACTTTGACCTTATTAACTTGCTTTATCTAAAACTGAACCATTACGCTTAGGTCATCCTCGCATCAAAGGTCCTCGTTCACAATGTGCACCCAGACTGTTAGTGTTTCATCTTGCTTTACTTTAAGCTGCTCTTATTCTCTTTATTTCACATCAAAGCCTTGTCTGCAACGCAGGTTTTTATAAACTGACTAAACCATCACCATTTACCATTAAACATGGTCATCATCGCTAAATACAGGTATATCTGCCACTTAGACTGCTTTCCCTGTAGCTGTATTCCTGATGATGTGCAGTTACCATAGACTAGTTTTCATAAATCTAATAAGCACTAAGGCTTTTTCCAACACAGTGAAGAACATTTTCATATAACAAAACAATTTCTATAAGCCAAAAACGTATTAGATAATTATACTTACCAGGACTATATATATAAAAATCCCACAAACACCCCCTGTCTGGGAAATGTATAGCTATTACAGGTCTTCATTTACAGTACAAAAAATGTTGAGGTTAATGAGTGATGTCTTCAGTTCTGTTCTGAGGACACCAGTATGTCTAACAGGGATTTAACTCAATCCATCCAAGCCTTAATAAGACATCTACCTTTAATTTCTTGCACCCATAGTCTGCTGCTGGTCCTGGTTGTCAAAAGTCATTAATACCAGAAAATAACTGTGACTTGGTGGGCAAATGTCTTTCCACTGTGGAAGAGCTGCTTATGGATTTCCAAGGTAATGGCACCTAATGGGTATAGTTGACCACTATTTTTCACCATGGATGATTGATCCTGCCATTATCAAATTACCCAAGTCCTGATTTGTGCGTAATGCATATAGGGCAGCACGATGGCTGTCTCTTCAGTCAAATTCCAGGCATCTTCATTGGATAATAAATGGGCTTCCTCTTATAGTTTTGTTTCACATACTATAGAGCTGACTGCCAACATGCCCGCCAAGGGGTAACACCAGAGGTCTACTTGGGCTGAAGTGGCACCATCAGTCTGCTTAGGATTTTACATCACCGATCTCCACGTGTGCTGTGAACCTAATTAGTGCAATGATTTAGCACAAGCCTGTTACTCGTTAATCAAAGCTTCCTGGCCCAGCCCCGGAGTGAGACATGGGGAAAGGGTGTGAAACTGACAGGAAGAAGGATAGCCTGGGTGCACACCACCCTGGAGCGAGGGCATCTCTGCCAGGACGGTGTGGCCCGTGGGATCACTGCCCTTCTGCAAGACCATGCATTATTGAAAGGCTTCAGAATGACCTCATGGAATAAGGCTTAGGATTGGGGCATGAATATTTTAGCAAGTGCTTTCGCGGCTGGGTGCGTGCTGTCTGAGCAAAGGCACTTGTCACAGGATCCGCGTTTGGAGCTGCGGAATAACTGCCTAGGTAGGATGCGTTAAGTCTCCATCACGGAAGACTGGGCAGCTGGATGAGTTTTTGCTCTGGGGAGCAACAGCGGCTCCAAAGCACTTAAAAATAACACAGCCAAACACCATCCTCAGCACTCCAGATACGCGGCCCAGAGTTTATCAGTTTCCAGGAGAAGTGAGTGCTACTCGCAGGCATCTGTTCCAGGCCTTTGGAGTTCTGGTCTGATGGCCCATTGCAAGCGCTTGAGTTTGTTCCAGTTAAGCTCTTAATGAGCTTTGATCGGTTTCAACACAAACAAAGGAAAAAGAAAAAGACCTACAAGTCTTAATAAGCAAAAAAGTCACTAAAAGCCTGATCTATACTTGCTGTAATGTTTAATAAATGATCCAATGCAACAAAAGTTCTCATAGTTTTGTATGCTGTTAGAATTAAGCAATTATTCATTAAGTGAAGTAATAAACACAAATCAACCATTTGAAGAAACCAAAAATATACAATTAAAGTTATTTATTTCTTCTATTACTGGTACTCCTCCACTAATACAATGAATAAAAATGAAATATAGTGAGACCTAAAATGTGTTCAGTTCAATTTAATCGAATGAATGCAAGATACAGAATTATGAGTTCAGCTGAATGCAAATTCATTAATACTGGAGTTTACTATCTTAAGCTTTTCTCAGAACATAAACGAGCGTACAGAGCAGACCACCAGAACCAGGACTGGGAAACTCAGGGCTCAAGTTAAAGCAAATAATAGTACCTACCGTATAAAGTTAATGGTCGCTTAAGTGTGAGACCTTCTCTGATAGTCATGGTGTCTCCTTGCCTTTACTTGTTTGACCACTTTGGATGTTCTAGTGCAAGTAACGATCCTGTCTGGGATGTTCTACAACCCTCAGAGATCTATGCTCTACCTTCCCTAGTTACGGTGTGCAGGATTAAAAGCACGATGCGATTTTGCTTTGTAAGCTCTACTCTTCTGGGAGCATCGGCAAGGCCTAAAATTAATCACTATGATTTTACAGCACAAGGAAATTGTTTGCTTCGTTTGACAGCTAGGGAACAGAAAATGGTGCCAAAAGATGGAGCTGAGGCCCCAGGGGATGAAACAGAGCTGCAGTATGAGTATGAATGAGCGAAAGTGGACAGTTGTCAACTACTGTGACGGCTGCGGGTGAGGGTGCCGTCTAACCGACTGAATAATGTAACAAAACAACTGAAAATGTCATTCCCCGATCAAGGTTGGCAGTGAAGTCAACTATCCGTACGTGACAGTAGAGTCATATTTGGCTGGAACACCCCCAAACTGCAGACTGACGTTAGAATCCCACAGCCCGTGTGCATGATTACGCATGGCACATTTACAGCCGTTCTAAGACTGATGGGAACTCATAGAAATCATCTCAGGCATCCAAAAATAGCTCATCTACAGGGAGAACAGCTGAATGGCTGCTTACACCATCACTTGCACTGTGAAACAGAAGGCACGTTCTGCGAAATTCAGAAAACAGACTGTACTTTCCGTCTTGCGACTGGGACAAGCAGGTCCATGCGTTCAGTTTACAGGTACTCTAGTCTTGCCCCAACTTCTGCTTATGATAAATGGCTTAAAATAAGCTCAAGGCTAAAACATTAAGAATACACATTTCATAAATTCACAGTGGACAGAAATGTGGTAATAATACCATAGTATTCCAGATTTGAATTCTTGCAAAAAATTATACATAAAAGCAAACAAGATGTACATAGGGACATTTATCACACGCCAAACACAATGGATATTTACAGACACAGATGAACCTTCTCTGCGTGTTTGTCGACTGTGGAAGTAAATAGAGAAAATTAAGTGGAAATCGTGCGAGACCCTTGACAAAACTGCTAGCTTATACCTTTGTGTGACACCTCCAGTGATCTTACGGAGTTTTGCCTTGCATCTCAATCAACACATGGACATTAGAGTGGAAGAACGTCATCCTGTGGCTCCTAATTAATGGTGACTTTCCCACCAACTTTCATGCTGGCGTCACCAGAACATCTACAAGCCGAGTCCTCCTAAATGAATTGCCTGAACTATTAACTCAAGAAAAAAAAACCTGGGGAGAGGCACTTATTTCCAATAGACTTTCCCTCCCTCATTCATTTTATTGTAGTTAGCTGCTGCTAGTGTTATGTGCCCAACAGCTCCCTATGTTCAAGATCAGGGCATTTCACATAACAGTTACTGACCCATTAATCATAACCAGTAGGCAGCTATAGCAAGTATCCACACTTACTCCACAGTGTCGTCCCAGTTGCACCAGTGACGGTGATCCAGGGCCTCCATGTCCAGTTTGAACTTGGCTAGACAGATCTCCTCAATGGCGTACTGGTAGCCAGCACTGCAAGTTGCTACAGAGACAATGTGGAAGGCCAAGGAGGACGCTGGAGAGACATACAGATACCATGTCAATGACATACGAAAAGTAAAGAACGTCAACATGGTGGTGTGCATATGACGATAATGTAGACCAGCGTTTCCCGACCCAGTCCTTGGGGAACCCCGGCCAGTCCACGTTTTTGCTCCCCTCTTAGCTCCCAGCGCACCTGTAACAGGTATTCAGTGTTCCTGATTGGCTGGGAGCTGGGAGGGAGCAAAAACATGGACCGTCTGAGGATCCCTGAGGACTGAGTTAGGAAACACTGATGTAGACGACATAGAGGTCATATCTGTCCAGATGATATGCAAAGGTGTCAAGTTAATCTTCCTTTACAGTGAATTACAAGGAATTTTCAGGAAAGCTGAGTAAAAGTTTAGCCAAGTTATTACCAAGTTTACATGGAGCCCAAGCCCATTATGTGCAGCAACAAAGGAACGAACACATTTAATTGGGGAAGAAGATTTTTATTGTGGTCTAGATACCAATAATGCAGCGACAACCTGCCAGAAAGCGGTTTTAGGACAACATTTACATTTAACCCATCATAGGCAATGCTGATTTTGCAGATATTACACACGTCATAACTGCCTCTGTAGCATCATATTATCTCATAACCCAACAATACAGCTTCATGCATGTCAAATATTGTTTCTCAGCTGTTTTTATTTAATATAAACTGGAAAAAAATGTATTTAAAATTTCACCTAGAAACTCAACAAATTGGTACTCTTGTTTAGGAAGTTTAGTTTAATTTTAAGTTTAATTTTAGGAACTTTCAAAAGTAAATTTATAATATGTATGTATGTTAGGAGCTTTATGAATAGTAAACTGGCTGATACACAAAATGTCTCTTCGGATACAACAGCTGGTGTAAGAAGGGCTGGAGCTGCACCGAGAAACTCAATGTGGGTCAGGGCTGCTGATGCTGACAGTCTCACTTTGGAAAATTCAGTGCTTGTCCTGTTGAAAAAAATCAGGATTTGTGGAGAGATTATCACTGTATCATAAGTGACAACAGACTCAGCCCAACCTCTTCCACATAGTGGGAGAAATGAAGACATTCTCCTGACAACAATTCATGGGAAAGCGTAATAAACTCAGAAGAAGGCATCGCAATAATCTGGGAATCAAAGTTTCCAGTTTTTTTTTTAATATTCTCGTATGAATGCTGAAAATGTAATGCAGTGGGATTCTGTGGTGAGTTCCCCCCCCCGAATTCTCCACTGTAAGGTATGGAAAGGAATGAATGAATAGATTGGTTCTGACATTGGTGGGTTAAAATGACTTTTCTTAGGTCCTCTTTAAAAGGCAAAGCTTAGATTTGCAGTACAGCAGAAAGTTTTATCTTCAAGGACCAGGGTAAAATGAAGGCATATGGCACCCATTCTTGCACTCCTGTTTATGCAAGATGTGACAAAGGTTCATACTTAATAAGGAAGCAGGTTTGCACCATTTGCAAAGTATGAGAAGTTTGGTTCTCTCTGTGAGTATATATCAGCATCTGAAATCTGCATGTAGGTAAATCATTACCCTGGGCTTTTGACAACTACTACTACTGCCTTGTAGCTGCCAACAATGCAGTCATGCAAGAACAGGTAATAGTTTTTGCCAGTGAATTCAGGTTCATGCCTCATATGATAAGCTGTAACAATGTTCTGAGTGGTGCTTCATAAAACTAAATTGACCATACAAAGAAGAACTTGTTTCCACAAGTATGAGCAAAAGAACACTGGAAAAGGGAACATTAACACATTGTAAACTGGCAAAAGCAATGCAAAACAACAAAAAGGCTATACATCAAACAGACCTCAGTTAAAATGACACATTGTATGATCCTGTTCTTTTGTTGTAGCAGTTGTAGGAGTTACTAACTTAAACAACATAATCACTATGACATCCAGGTAACTAAACCAATTCACAAAACTCAAATTATCTTGTGTTTATATCCCACCCATGTATATCCATCAAACACACCGGTGTTTTGCAAATAATTTTAGGTTTATGTCTTTAGGTTCTACACCTTCTCATATAGCAGTGCAGAATGATTGTCTTGCGTGTTAGTTTCCATCCAAGAATTTCATAACCAAATGCAATAATCAATTCCAGAAAATATCACTGCAACTGCACAGTGATAGTGAAGGGGAACCTTCTTAGAACCAGGGGATTCTAGATTTAAGTCCTGTAGCTGCACCTTTGGTCTAAGTGCTAAACCCAGTTCCTCAGGTGAAAAATTCATAGGACACCTGTGTTACAGCTAAGGAAATGTAACAATCCTGTTTCAGTAATGTGCCAATCAAATAAAACACACTAGCTAATTAAAAGATGTACATGTAAGCTTATTCCTGCCGGCAGTGTCACTGATGCCAGAGAGCAGGTGGCTCTTGGTTTCACTGAAGCGTGCCGTCTTGTTTACCTTCACACTCAAATCCCTCAGCGAATAACTACTGAGACAGAGATTACAGGGGCACAGTGGGGGGGTAAAGCCCTCCACTGCAAATACCCTGTGGTCACAGTCTTCCTACAATATGGTGTAACAGATGACTTAACAGAGGAATGTTACAATTTAGACACACTTCCTGTTTTTTTTCCACATTATACAGGATAAATGCTTGTAGAGCATGATTAAAGAGATTACTTTTGAAGGACTTGCCCTTGCAATAATTACAACCCCGTTTCCAAAGAAGTTGAGACGCTGTGTAAAATGTAAGTGAAAACAGAATGCAATGACTTACAAATCATATAAACCCATATTTAATTGAAAACTGAACAAAGATAACATATCAAATGTTGCAACTGTATGGGGAGATGTGCTGAATTTTGTGAACAAATATTTACTTTAAATAAATAGCAAAAAATGACCAGTTTCCATGTCAGGCAATGAAGACAGTCATAGGAAACTAATTCCAAAGGTATTAGGTCAGTCCATGCATGGAGCTACACTGAGCTTGTAGACTATTAGCCATCCACAAGGCTGCATGTATCTACGCCATTTAAATCAGAATGTCTTCCACACAAAGTTATGCTATACATAGTGCTCCCTTCATTCAAAGGTATTCTGTATTTGCCCAGGCACTGATACCACAGTGACAAGCAGGCTCACATTCCAGGAGACCTATTTAAGTTACCCTGAAACAGGAAGAAAACAATGAATGATACCTTGGAAGCTGGACTAGGACGTGGTGTGAGGTGTTAGAATGGATAGGGCTGCCGGACTTGGTGCAGGTGGTTTCATGAAATGTATGGCTAGACACCCCCCAAACTCCACTCACCCTTCATTTGTAGCAGATGGGCACCGCAAAGAAAATAATTAAATAGAGATGGGGTTTCACATTTCCATTTTAATGATTTGATAACTTTTGGGCAGAAAGGAAAATCTGTCGCATAGTTAATCCCAAGAATCCATCTGTAAAGATAATGCCGTTGTAACTTCGCTATCTGTGACATCAAAGGAATCTCTCACTCCCTGGATCTCCTCCTCTGTGACTCAGACTCTGCAGCCCACACACACTGACATGCAAACGCAGGAATAAATCTTCAGCATTCAACAGTCATAGTTCATAACTCTCTGCTCATACAACAAATAGCCTCTGTGGAGCCACCGTCCATCACTATAATACTAAATTGCATTGAATTGTGCTTAACTAACAATAAATCTTGGGCACTATTTTACATTCACTATTTTCCCCATTTTAAAACATCCAAATAGCCATGTTTAAAATTGACTTGATCCACTATACCACTATAATCCTGGATCATCCCATGAAACACAGGGCATCACACAGGGGCCATATTGGACAGCATGCCAGTCTAACACAGTGGCAAAATAGTACTAAACTTACATATTCAAATTTAGGACTATACCATTAATCTACCAGCTGCAGTGTCAGGTTTGCAAGTAACAAAATCACAAATGCGTGCAATGTTTTTGCAGTGTGAATCTTAGTATGCATTCTGCACTCTTATTTACAAAAAAGCTCTGGGAGGTGAAATTTGCAGTTTTATGGAGGAACTTTGGGCACCAAATTGCCAGAGTTTGAAAAAGAAAAATCTGTGCAGCTGATGTTGCAATTTCAAAGTCAAGCCTGTCTGGACATCTGACTGAACTGATACCAAGACAATGTGCACACTTTAATCCACTGTAAGATAAGGAAACATTAGCCTGTATACTTTAAACACAACCAGACAGAACATTTAACTTTTAGCTTCAGAAAATTAAAACGTCCTGTGTTCTTTTGTGCTTCTTTCATAATCCAACACTAATTTGACATTTTGAAAACACTTACATTAATAATAATATCAGTCTTTGGATCTGAGTCCTATAAAATCTGGACAGGCACCTGTTTAGCCTTTACTGGTAGCCTTTGTGGACTAGCTGCATTTATTCCACAGAATTCCGCTCTGCAACCCCAAGAGGGATTAATCAGTTATTGTTCTTGGCATTCTCTAAACTATCATATGAAATATGATATCGCCAACTATACTCAAATTCTGCTCTTGTACAACCGGAACCAGAAGTGAATCAAGATGAGGAGGATAAGGAACAACTTCACGACCAGGAAACTGGTGAGCAGGGAGAATGAAGACCATGATCACGTTGCCGATGCGATGTCTTTATCAACGCCTTGCTTCATATTTCATCTCTAATGAATGCATAAGGGACTGTGATTCAAAGTTCCCATCTTTCATTCTTGGGAACCAGAGTAACAAATATATCAAGAGTATGATGAACACACCCACAAAGTCATCTATCCCACATTATCCAGAAAAGAAGCAACCATGTTCATCACTGCCAGCTGCTGATTATTAAATACCTACACACCTTAGATGATAGTGCAGAAGCACTATGAATATCATTGGTCCAGTGCCCATAATCCCTCACACTGCTACTCATCACTAATCAGAATGTGAACGTACTCACAGGAGTGACCATTTCCATGCACACATACATGCACTGGGGCAAACTCCATGGGCACAATATGTGGAGCCCCCTGGCATGCAGAGTGGCACTGCGGCACGAGCCAACCATGCAGGAGTCTACTTTGTCAACCTTGAGAGGTGAGCTCTCTGATTAAATTACTCCAACATCCGCCTGCTTGCTGTTACATGGCTCTCAGCTTTAACTAATTGCCAGCAGTCCAGGGAAAAATATATCAATGTTCCTTTATTTGAAATACATGCAAATTTATCTCGTATCAGTGTTATCTTGAGCAACTTCGAATCTGCATAAAAAATCTTTGTGAAAGCCTCCTTACACTGCACATGGTATGTATTGTGAGACCCCATCCAAGGCCTTCTTAAAAAATACACAACAAGTGCAAATCCTCATTAAATCTCATTGTATATTTTCATTTTCATTGTTGACACGGCCATGCATTAACATCCACAGCATTTTTGTCATGTTCCCAACCTATGTATAATTATGCTTTTGTTTTACCAAGTCTGCTCCTTATTGATAAAATGTTGGCCACAAACTCCACAAGGGGAACAAACATGTTATTAAGAAGCGTGCCCAGATCACAACCCTGCACCACCAGCAGGTCGCTACCTCCCCAGCTCTGAATAACCCATTGTTAAACAATCACATCCCTACAATATTAGCAAAACCGCATTGTAACTGCAGTAAGGAGTCACATGGAATGGCTGTCTCAGCACCTTTGCAACAGGATTTCCATAATTGGTTTGTGGGTAGTTCATAGAGTGAACGATACTAAATGCTAAAACATCTCAGCTTCGGTAACAGTCTAAATGTGATTGAAGAGCACATTCTCTAAACTAATGGACTGCAAAAACCAACTTGGGAAAGGAACTCCATGAAAATTCCATAGCCAAGCTAATGTCACACTCCATTACAGATGGAAGCTTGTCAAAAGTTGAAAAGGTGTCAATGTATACGTACAATGGTGTGCTCTGCTCTTATTTACAAAAGACTCACTTAATGTAGGAAATCATTTCTAACTCTACGTATGAACTCCTCAGACGTTGGACCTCGGCGTTCTGCTTCAGAATGAATGTAACCAAGGTCGTCAATAATGAGTCCACTGCCTAATTCTTCAGCGTAACCTCCCGAGACCCAAGGAAAAAAGTGTCCTTCAATTGTAGGTTATTTGTCTTTGGAGGAAATAAGACATCTTACAATTTAGATTTTTTCTAATTTATTCTTATTTTAATTTCACAGCATGTCCTCTTTAGTGCACAACAAGAATAAATACGTTTCCCAACATCAGTGAAAAAATAAATGCAAAAATACAATGTCCACTACAATGGACATAAATGAATAGGTCAGGTCTCAGGAGGTTAAACACCATGACACACTTTTCACCGACAACATCCCTCACATTTCCAGTACTGCTTCCGCTGTAAGAGCTCTCTTATAAATGTCAAGACATGCACAATTACATTATTTGTAGTAAACCTAGAGACTGTCCTTTGCTCCTTTCAAACCATCCATGCGTATTTTAATTTTCAACAAACACTGATGCATTTATGGTGAAGATAGGGGAATTACCTCGGGAAATATGGAAACCAGTGGGTGCTTAGAACTTGCTTGAACAGCATGTACATGTACATCTAGGAGAAAGATCCTGCAACAATGGAAACCTGGAGGATAGTTATCATTCAAGTGAACCTGAGTGAAACCAGTTTCAATCAGAGGCGATTTCACTTTAAGAGATTTCCACATCTGCTGCACTCTATCATCCCATATTGTTTTTGGAAAATGTCTTTAATTGTAATCTGTTGTTAATTAATGCTGATTCGTTTTAAATAAGGCTTGGGCAGCAGGCAAAGCCCATAAATGGTGCAGTGCAAAACAGCACTAGATTTGGCGTATTTTAGATAGTGTTATTATAAATGTACTGCTTTGTACTCTCCCATGATTTCTAAATATTAAAAAAAGAGGTTACAAGCTGTATCTTCTTTTTAAAATTAGACACATAGTTCAAACACAGCATCCAAAGTAACAATGTTTATAAACTTATGAATAAACATGTAGCGTATATAATAAACCCTGTGATCGTCAGAAACTAAATATGGGCATTACTAATGATTGTTAAATTTCTACGAAAACTCCAAACATCGATTATTTTTCCACACTCCAGTTATGCTACCTCATAATTAAATGAAACCATCAGTGTGTAAGAACAGTGACGGCCTTTACACAAACTAAAGTGTAGCCAATAGAACTGCTACTTAATCGTCCCTCGGTTTTTAACAGCAGGGAATCGTGGACCAGAAATCACATTTAAATGCCAGATCCAAGGAAAACAAGAACGAGATGTGTGCAGCCTGTTCAGGTCTCGTGCATTTTATACAAAAATACATTTATTTTAAAACACGACTGACATCATGCATTATGTGTTGTTTTAGGCAGAGGTACATGATTTATATATATATATATATATATATATATATATATATATATATATATATATATATATATGTGTGTGTGTGTGTGTGTGTGTGTGTGTGTGTGTGTGTAAAAATGGTGTTGGGGTGAATATAGAGGCTTTGGGGGGACCATGTTCAGACGCCATTCTCTCTAAATGTCGTAAGATGTTGAGCATGTTGAGTAAGCACTTGAGACGGCGAACAGGGGGCAAAAGCAACAGTTTTAACTTTGGAAATAATTTAAGGTAAGGTGAAGCATGCAAAACAGCTGTCAGTGGGCTCTTTCACCGAGCAATGTAGGAAAGTAACATTTACAACTGACATTTAGCGGAGTCCAAAGCGACGTACAAGTGAGGCAAATGGCACATTACAAACATGCGTGCTGCCAGGGAGTCGACTGGGCATGAGTGCAGCTAGACTGAGCTTCCAGTGAAGGCCCAGGTACCAGTGTAAGCAGTGCTGGAGCAGGAGCTACACAACTTATAACAAAGCAAGGACCTAATAAGACTATTCAAGCACCAGAAGTGCAACATAAGATCGTGCAGGGAATAGTAGAGAAATGCATGTAACCTCTCTAATAACTACAGCACATTACAGATATACGATGTGTTTCGGGAACGATTGCAAAAGACCGAATATTGCTAAACTGTTAATTTTATGGTTCATGTTTAACATTTAGCAAAACATTTTTTGCACGAAAACGTGCTTAAAACAAACTGTCACAAGATTAATTTAAAACGCTTTACATAACCCACTTAGGCAGTGAAACTACACTTAGTGCTGCATAAAACAAACCCTGTGTTTGAAACGGTGCTATATAAATAACGACTAATTAAGTAAGTGCATAAATGATCGAGGGCATTTTCATATAGTAATGATGGGCAATAGCACAACCAATGATACTGTTGTAGAAATAGCTATTTTGCTGTTAAGACAAACAATAACATAATTGCAGAAATCATTGTGCCATATATTACGCACTATGTAATTAAGCTATCCTATTTTAACTACCTAAACGATGATCCGGTAGCCTGAAATCAAAATTAGCAAAGTATTACCAAATACTAGTGTTACCAAATAATAATGTTATTTTAGTAACCCATGGCTAAATCAAATGAAAGCAGATTCATATACAACTTCGGTTGATTTAAATTAAGTCTGCGGGTAAAAAAGTTGCACAAATCCTATTCAGCAGTACTTACCTATTACAAGCCAAAAAAATGTATTTCTCGACGTTAACGAAGTGTCACACAACGCCATGGTCGTTTTACGTATGTGTAAAACGTTTATTTAAAGAAAAAGATTACAAATAAAATGAGTGCGGATAAAGTCAGGTGCTCAAATGTCTGCTTTCCATTGATGCATCAAGGCGAGGTATATATGTCCTCCTCGATCAGCACTGGGATAGTACACAACAGGTAGATTTTGAGTATCTAAAACCTGAATGTGTCAGTCGCCCTTCAGTTGAAATGCAAAGATCCAAAGGCTTTTGCGCGGTTTTGTCATTTCATTCTATCTCAGAAGGACCGCAAACCATGTTCAGTTCTGTGCTCCATAAATGTCGGTATTGGTCTCTTCTAATTATTTCTTGAAGTTGTCCCTTTAAAGCTGGTGTGTGTGCATTTAAAAAAAAAAGTGAAGGTATCAGAATGACTGTCAGTGCGCGAGTGGCAGGACGCGTCCGGCGGAGCTTCGGCTTCACCTCCCGCTGAACGCGAGCGGAGTGACGGAGCAGCTGGATCCGAGACTGAGAAACCCGCTGTGGGCGGCTTTCGTTGTGGGAGGGTCCAGAGTTCGCAAATATATATACTAAAAATCTTACATCACGGGAAAACAGACGTCAAGTGACGCATACTGCAATTAAAGAAACGCACTAAAATCTATCCACACAATTTCATTATGTATTAACATGTAATTTTGCTTGAATTCTGTCGTAAATCAGTGGTGACATTGCAGATAGTTTAAACCAGATCGTTTAAAATTGTGCAGTATGGACATCTCCATAAACGTTTAGAAATAGGATGACTGGGGACTTCAGCGTCTACGTTTAGGTAATAAATTGAACCACCAATGAAAAGTAACGTAATTGTTGGACAGCGTTTTAGATTTGTGGGCTACTTTTAAAAACCATTAAATGGTCATTATTCACCTCCTTAGGAGCCAGTGGAGCAGGGGCAGTCGCTGTGTTTGCTGCCCGGGTTCAGCCAGTAACCAAGTAACCGCGGCTGCCGCAGGTATCCTGGAGTGTAATGAGATGGACATTTGTAGGTATCGGTAAATTGTTACATCTATTCTCAGTTTATTTTCATAATGCAACAAACTTTAGATGCAAACGTGTGTATACATAGAGCACGTCAAATCAGGGCAGTTATACAAAGTTTAACGCCTGATCAGCTGCGCTTCAAAGACAACACTTGCATTTAAAAAAAATCGATATTTCATAGTATACAAACATACACACACACACACACACACACACACACACACCACATATACATATATATGCACACACACCCCATGACCATTTCTAGCTACACAGGCCACCACATCTATAATATGGAAGCAAATGAAGGATGAAGGAAGTTGTATTGAAAGAAACATATAAAGAACTTGACAGCCGGAGCTAGAACAAAGCGAGAATTTGATAATACAATGTCCAAAGGAAACTGACCCAAAGGGCTATTAGTCGGCCGCAGCAAGTTTGATACATTTTTTCGAGTCTGAGAGCTATTTAATAATTTCTAAGATTCAGCTTCTGCCATCTATAGGATTTATGGAGTAAACGCTTTCAGCTCACTGGCGAACAAGTATTAACACGCACAAATTTCTAGCGAGAACAGAGTTTATTATACAGCCCACATATTTATTCATGTACATAAAAATGTAATTCCATTTTATTAACACAATGTGAAACGAAAACACATGTGTATGCAAATGAAGAGCTGGTGCTTCACCGGAATGTGAGATACAGGGGAGAATGTGCGTGGATGATACATAATATCGGTTATAACTTGTACAAGTCTAAAAATGAGGTATCTGAAGAACTGAAATTGAGCTAAACCGTAGGATAGAAAACATTGTTCATTTTTATGCAGTTTAATTTTAAGTTCTATATATTAAAATTTTAGTAAGTTCAATAAAAGGAGTGAGATGATTTCGCAGTTTAACCAGAACGATAAAGACTCGCTCTTTTTGGACTATGGAGGCGGCTCTGAAAAGAGCCTTTGGGTTATCCAGGCGGATCACTGGCGCCCAGACCTTAAGCACGTTCGCCGCGGATGCGACGCGCCAACTGGATGTCCTTGGGCATGATGGTTACCCTCTTGGCGTGGATGGCGCACAAGTTGGTGTCCTCAAACAGACCAACCAAGTAAGCCTCACTGGCTTCCTGCAACGCCATGACGGCGGAACTCTGGAAACGCAGATCGGTCTTGAAATCTTGAGCGATTTCCCTCACCAGGCGCTGGAAAGGAAGCTTACGGATCAGCAGCTCCGTAGACTTCTGATAACGACGGATCTCACGCAAAGCTACAGTCCCAGGCCTATAGCGGTGAGGCTTTTTCACGCCGCCAGTAGCAGGAGCGCTCTTACGAGCTGCCTTGGTGGCGAGCTGCTTTCTAGGAGCTTTACCTCCGGTGGATTTACGGGCAGTCTGCTTTGTACGGGCCATCGCAACACAAGCCTGCAGGGGAAGCTACAGTATAACTAGCTACCGCCGCACCGTCGAATTATAAAGGACAGCAGGCGTGCCCTGATTGGGTAGGAGGCTATGGCGCTTCCATCGGGGTGTTTTCATTGGCTAGTTTTCTACCGCCGAAAATTCAAATACTGAG